AATTTATATTATATAATTATTATATATATTTATTAACAATTTAATAATGTTTTAATAAATATTTGTATTTAATAATTCAATTTTGTATTTTAAATAAACATTTTCTCATTTTATCTCAATTTTTACAAAATATATCTACATATTAAAATAATTTTTAATCCAGATTCTAAATTGTTAACCAAACTTTTGTTTTTATTTTCAAATAAAATATAGAAAAATCTGTAATTTTTTAATAACTTTTTATTTTGTTAAAAAACGCATAATACATCTTCTATCCCTAATATGATATTCTTACAAATTATAATAAAATATTGGATACAATTGAAAGAACAAATTTAATATTTTAATTTAAATGCCAATAGAAATAAAATTTAAAAAAACAAAAAAATTACTTCATAATTATTTTTAAAATAAGTTTTTCAAAAAACTAGTTATATTCTCCAATTATAATATATAATAAACGATATAATCATAATGAGAAATTGATTATTTATGTAAAACATATCCCGAAACTATTCGGTTCAGACATACAATATGACCTTGTCATTTCCTCTTTGCTTTCAATAGAAGTTTATGAGATATGAAACCAAAGCAACATCCGTGATACCGTTTAAAAAAAAAACATATTTGTCTATCATTGTCTGCATAATATGCATGTTCACAACCAAATCATCCATCTGTACATATTCATTCTCACAATCAGTACATGCACTTTTCTTTTTGCAAATGCATAAAAACAGGTATCATATAAGTAATAATAATGGCTTTCATTTTGTTTGTGGGGGTGGCGGGTGATATGGAGAGGGAAAGATGGTCATTGTTATAAGACGTTCAGATTGTCGGATCATACACTTCCAGTTCGACTATTCTCGAACCACCTGTCACCGTAGTTCAGCAACCCCATTGTCGAATCTTGCACCCAGGCCTTTGCCAGAAGACAATTTTGTTGAGCTTTCTGTCTGCTCATTTTCCATTTTTTGAAAAATGGCATCAGCGAAGGCAACATTTACGATCCTCTTGACTGTGGCGACGATCGGCGTGATATCTTCACGAGATATACGTAAGTAAATAGTACAGGTAAAATCCCTCAAAAGTGATATTTATTTTTAATATCGACTTAAGTACTAAATAATATCAATGGAATAAAAATTTTTAAAGATAGTTTTATTTAGTTTATTTATTTTTTGGTAAACTTTTGCCGTTTCTCTAATGTACTATTACACTATTATACAAGTTATTAAATAGAGAGAGAGAGAGAGAGAGAGAGAGAGAGAGAGAGAGAGAGAGAGAAAGCTAAATGCTAAAAGTCGATTTAATGGCTGTTATTAACATCGTAAGATTTCTTAATTAAGATTTCTAAATACGTTTATTAGTTTTTAGAATTTTAGAATTATTTAGTTAGTTTTAGAATTATTTTCAACGTTTTCAACAGTTGAAAATAAACCCATATGCGCAAATTAAGCTGATATTGTCAACATTAAGATTAAGTACTTCTGATGATCTGTAAATTTTAGAATTTATCCAAGAATAGAGTAGAGTACACATAAGTAGAATATTATACAATTTTACTTGAAAAATAGATTATTAGACAAGAAACATTTGAAGAACATATACACACATACTCATACAATGTATCTTACAGGAAGTGTTGAAATTAATCAGTTATTTTTAAAAGCACAAGAAAAATAAAATATTTTTAGTAAAGAAAATTGGCAATTTTATTTACATATAGAATAAGGATATTCGGAAATATTTATTATTTAATAAGTATTTATAATAAAATGCTAAATATTGCTAACTTTAATAAAATGTAGCTTCTCATATAAGAAACAAGTGAAAATTTTTATTTGTGTTGAGTGAAAAGTATCATATGTGTTAAATTCAATACTTTTGGATACATAAATTTTAACTTCACTTTTTACGTCATTTTAATTGCCAAGAAATATTGCATAAAGAACATAAATCAACTTAACAGAATGCACGTTTCTTTATAAATATAATTAAGAACATATTTTATATTTATCATTCACTATTTAAATGCAACTATTTAAATATAATTTATGTTCTTTGCATTAATGTAAATACATTTAAATAGTGAATGATAAATATAAAATGCGCTCTTAATCAAAGATCGTATAAATGCATTATATTAAAAGAATATTACATTATAAAAATTAAATCTTGTATTTATAAATAGAAATTAAACGATAAAAAAATTAAGGATTGGTTTGTAACAACGACCGCTTATTATATAACATTTCCAATATTACTATATTTATGACAATCTGATGACGGCTTCCACTATGATTGCAGCCGAATTCCTGCATATTTGTCAAACGCACGATCCGCATTACGAGACATGTGTCACTGAGAGTATAGAGTATTTGAAACCATATCTTAAAACAGGTGTACCGGAATATAATATTCCATCGTTGGAACCTCTCATACTAAAAAAAATAACGTTTATACCAACAAGTAATTTACGATTAGAGGCATCTGATGTTGAGACAAAGGGTGCCAGTAACTTTATAATTAAAAAAGTGAAGTAAGTATAAAAAATGTAATACTATTTATTATAGAATATATTTATA